GCAAGCAGACAGTTTCTCCTCGATTCATTAAACTTCAAGATCAAAAATACAACAGCCGAATCATCGCGCTGCCCAAAAATAAGAATAACTTGTTAAAAGGAATTAAAAGGTGAAATATTTCCAAGGTGACTTCGGTGTGGTCTGCAGTTAATCATCCCCTCAGATTTCACGTCCTTGGCGCACGGCCGCTCCAACTATCACAGTCCCCGTATAATCCCCGAGAGTCGGACAATCTTGCTCGCCGACAAACCCTACACCAATTATTAGTCCTTATATCCCTCCGCATTATCCGAAGTTATATGAAGCTGTAACCGCAAGCAAACCGGGCACGCTACTGGGTTTGATCCCGGGGCAACCAGAGTGAGAAGAAAAACAGTCAGCGGAAGGGCGGTTGCAGTTACTTCCTTTAAATGTGAGTTATATCGCCAAAAGCGTTAAAACAATGTTATAGAAAGAATTATGTTTCTTATATATAATCTACTCCTTTATTATATATTTATAATTTTTGGTACATTTCTTCAAATGTTAATTTGAATTTTATGTAAAATAGGGGTTATACACATTGATGCCACCTAAAAAGATAGAACATTCTACCAACCGAAAGAACGACATTACATAAAATATTTCCAGCTTAGAAACAAAGTGTTAATTCTTTTCTCACGGCGTGGGTCCATTCTTGAAACGATTTCCTGTTTGTTGCGAGACCCTTTGCCGTTCGTTCTCGCAGAATCTGCCGATATTCTTTCCGTCCAGTCTTTTTCAAAAACCCGCCTTCCTTCTCTGGATAATCAGACCGCCAAGTCGGGTCGGGCCACATCCCGTCTTCTCAATGCCGTGAGAGGAGTACGCTTTCTGGGGTCGATTAATGCATTATTCATTCGCGTTAAAGTTGGAAAACATTGCAAGTACACAGAAAACGAGGTACTTTTCTCCTCGTCCGTCCAGATGTTTCAAACTGTTGCCAAAAATATAACCTTTTCTTCTTTCCTTATTTAATGTTTACGTCTTTCTCCGATGCTAATTTCAGATTGGTTACGTAACAGTGCAGACCAATTGGTTACAAAATCTTTCTTTTCTTTTGTGTTGGTTACAGTGAATAATTTATATAGACATATTCACTGGAT